CCAACATCCTTTTTTCCCAAAACAATCTAAATCGCAGTAGATCTAAGGAAATATACCTTTAAAACTTGGCTTTTCCGGTGGCGCTTGAGATTTTCGACGACTGTAAGGCTTCCCTTTCTCTCTCTCTCTATTTTATGATTTCTATAGTTTGTGTTACTTGGCTTGCTTGCTCGTTGTTGTTTCCTTTGCAGGTGCATCCCTATTTATAAGGGGTTTCGATGCTCCCTTTGGACCGGTTAAAAGATCATACCCCAGTGAGTCACCGGAGCTACGGTGGTGACTCACCCTAGGGGTGGTGAGCTATGCGGTGAAGAGACTGAGTGTATTTAATGCACTCAGATCTTGTGAATCCGACGAGGACGTGGCAACTGTTGGTTCGAGCGTTCGGTGGCGATGACATCATTATCTTTATGGTGATGCCAGAATAGCCCTACGATTACAATGAGTACCCTAGGGTTTTGTTGGTGCCTTATGGATCATTAGATCTTCCTCTGATCGATCGGTTGTGGAGGAACGACGGCTACTGCTAGGGTAAAACCCTAACTGATAGAAGATTCGGGCCTTCCATCTTTATCTGGATCGAACGGTTAAGGAAGCTTACGGTGCTGAAATATGTGTAAAACCCTAAACTAAACTTGGGTTCATTTATTGAGCCTGCTGGGCTGCTCGGGTCAAATTTGGGCCTGAACCGAGTCTAGGTGTGCTGGGATATGTTGTAATTGGGCTTCGGGTTGTAACTTATTTTGCATTTGGACCTTTGCATTATAATTGGACCTCCGGGCTTAATGTGCATTTGGGCATGTAAAATTATAATATTTAATTATAATAATATAATAATATATAATAATATTTATTATAATATTTAGAACGTATATATAAAATAAACATCACTCAGACGAAAATTAATGTCGACACAATCTGCTATCACATGAGAGCATGGATACTTCAGAGCTTCAAAAAACCTGCAGTCGCACCATCTGTCCCGTAGATTTACTCTTAACGACACAGCTTCAATCCCTTAAAGAGGTCGCGATAACTTTGTGACACGAAACAATTCATGTGTTCTAGAGAAACTTGTTACAAACATTCCATTTGATGCAACAATTTTTTTTTGTAGATCTGTAACTAATCTAGGGTGATAGACATGACTGCCTTGCATCCATGTTTGAGCTTGTCCCCCTAGCTTCGCAAAAAACACCCCCAAACGATAATATATAGTTTTTACCAAAGTCGCTACAGGTAAGTGACGTGTACCCTTTATGGTCAAATTGATTGTCTTATCCAAGTTGGTCGTCATGTGTCCATATCGATATCCACCATCATATGAGTTTGTCTACATTTCTTTATCGATGAGGCTGATGTAATCGTATCCTTCCTCATTCTTCGCCCTCAAATCTTGAAGCATGTATTCAAATGTTTGAGCTAGTAGTTTGTAACTTGATCATAAAATGTAGAACTTACTAACTTTGTTTCTTTAAAAAATGAAAATGATCGAAAGAAAAAGGGTGGCTTTACTTACCCATGCACATAAGTAATTGGCGCTCATCATTCTTCTTGAACCTTCCATGGTAGTTCGCAGCAATGTGTTGGATACATTACCTATGTTGGACAAAGGGTGGTTGTCACAATAGACCCAAAGACACCATTGCTACTTTGATCCCAGCTCCGCGATCTGAAATGTCACAGATTTTTTCCCTCGTGATAACATGTGAACGTAAGTTTCGGAGGAAAAAAGCCCAAAAATCTGTATCTTCTCCTTCAACAAGAGCAAAAGCAACTGGAAGAATGTTACAATTACCATCTTGGAAACTACCAATAGTAAAACTTGCTTGTATTTTCCATACAAGAAAGTCTCGTCGATATGGACCACAGGCTTGCAGTATTTGACAACATTAATGCACTGTGGGTAAGTCCAAAAAACCCGGTAAAATTGGCATCGATCGTGAACAATTTGATCATTATGGTATGCATGATAGGTTTCGAAGTCCATAATTGTCCAAGGATTCAACCTCCGCATCACCCTAAACCAACTTGGAAGTTTGTTGTAAGATGCATCCCATTCACCATGAAGTTTTTTAATGGCATTCTGTTTTGCCTTCCATGTTTTTTTGTATAAGATGGAATACCCATACTACGATTGTATAGCTGAAATCAATACAACAATAGCTATATGGGAGCTTGCTTTTACCGTGGGCATAATGGCTTGACAGATCACTTCAGAGTCCAAGTTGGGATGATCTTGGTTGATCCCTTCAGCACAACATGTGTGAGGACCGTTGTATACCGTTAGTTCCCACCTATTGTTTTTCCTCTTCCTCTTTGATACGCGAACCATCCAATTGCATCTGCTTTCACGTCCAACACAGTGGCATACATATTTTTTTGTCATAGAGCGGTCGACTCTGGATTGAACAGAATTACGGATATTGTAATTTTTTATAGCCATCATCGCTTCTTCTTTGCTTGAAAACTTCATGCCTAAAGATAACTCACCATTATTTACTGATGAGTAAAATCCATAGCCACTGAGATTATGTATATCCGCAAATTTTGACCCGTACATTGTACCATAGTTAGTTTCTTACATGTGTGCTGGAGGTTCAGTTTGTGTCATATTTGTGGGAACTTCATCTACATCATCGAAGTTAAATTGTGTTGATTATGGGTAAATGAATAGTCCAGTCTCAGCACCATCCGCACTTGGTGCACGAAGCGGTTCTTCTGGTAGAGATGATGGTTCCTCCATGCTCTCCACATTTAGTCGAAGAACCTACTATTTGCATGCATTCCCCTTGACTAGAAGGCATATCGACATTGAGATCGAAAAAGATCGCAGTCGAATGGCTTCCCCTGGAGCTTGAAGCAATCGTGTCAAATGGAAACTGCAAAGATTGTTGTGTCGAGGGTATCTCCATATTAAGGTCAAAGAAATTGGCAGATGAATGTCTTCCCCTTGAACTGGACGCGATGTTGCCATACGGATTTCCCATTATAGCATTAAAATCATTACACATTACTGTAGTCGGGCTGTCAACTTGATCAGCTTGTTCAGCCAGCCTATAGTGCGAGCTTAATGACAGACCCCGAATAACACGTACTTCAACAAACTTTGCATACATCTCCGTATCGGCGTCAGAATAATTATTTTGAGAATCAACCATCATTTCAACATCATCATTGTTCAATAGTTCGAACGTTGTATAAGTTAATGACAACAATGATGTGGGAAATCTTTACTGAAGCGACGACATTCTTCTAGTACTTCCAACATGAACCTTCCTTGAAATCTTCGTTATCAGCTCCTCAAGAGTTATGTTTCTCTTGAAGAATATTTTAACATAATGATTTGATATGAAAATGTCGGTTTCATCTTCTCGAATTTCTCCATCATAATAAACAATAGCTAAAATTCACGTCATTCTTAGAGTTTGAAAGTGAGACAATCTTATATCTGTAAAAAAACCTGAAACAAGCCTAATTAAATAAATAATATATGAATTAAAATACAACACAATAAAATTTTTACACATAAACTTAAATAATTTAAATAATATAATTCTATATTATTATCGTATCAGCAAAAATATTTCGACGTATGCTCCCGCTTTCAATTTTACAACCACAAAAATTAATTGAACACAATTAGTACAATATTTTTTCAAATAATCATATATAATTATAAAAAATTACCTTATAACGAAAGATCGAATGAACTTCTGAATCAAAGATAAGAGAATTGCTGGGTGTTATTTATGGGTTAAGAGGATTATTGTATTAATTTTTCAGTTGAGAGGATGTTGTGTGACAGTTTACGGGGGAGAGGGGTATTTATAGCTGAGAGGAAACGATTTAAAGCGAGAAGTGCGGAAACAATTATACAAGGCGCGACCCATGCATCGTGCCATTCTGACGGGTGCATAATTTCAGGAAGGCGCAGCCCATGCACAGCACTATACTCCTACGTGGCAGAAGGCGTGGCCCATGCACCACGCCTTATCCAGCGTGTCGCCATGTCAGCATAAGGCGTGGTGCATGGGATGCGTCTTACCCCACGTGATGCCAGATCAGCGTAAGGCGCGGTGTATGAGCCGCGTCTTCCTGCAAAGGGTGTTAGATCGGAAAATAAAGATGGAAGGGTGTCTGAAATTAAATAAAGAGGGAAAGGGTATTTTTGGGGAAAATCGCCCAAAATTCAGTCACAACATAAATGATGTAATTAATAAAAGCACAAATTCTAAACGCCAAACCAATATTGATATATATTTTTTCAAATAAAAAATAAAATATAATCGGTATTTGTGTTAGAGAAGAAGAGGCTATTCTCTGCTTGTTGATACATTCCGTTCTCTATCTTCAAGCAAATCAAAATCAAATTCAATTCCAAAACCCTATTTTTTTTCGTTCACATCTTTCTTTTTTTCGTCTGTATATCTCCTGCTTCACTTTCTTTCTTGCACTGAAATTCTCTCGTTTTTCTTTTTTTCTTCGTAATTTTCCCCGGAAAAAGGAACGCATTGGATTGGGACGGTTATTGTTATAAAAAAGAAGGTTACGTTTTTTGAGGCAATATGGAGGAATTGTTGCGGGAACTAAGGTTTGGATTCTGGTTTTTTGTTTTATCTGTTCTTCATTCATCTATAATTTCTCCAAAGTTTATTGTTTCCAACCCTGACAGTTGGATACTCACAATTAGAATTTAATCCAGTGTTTTTGGTTTTACTCAAATTTGTAGTTATTTAGAGTTAATATCTCTCATTGAACTAGTTCGTTGATGCTAACTATATTATGTTTATTTTATAGGAATATATGCGAGGATCATCGGAAACTAGAAAATCAGTTATTTGCAGATCATCTTCAAGTCCTAATATAATCTCCTCGTTGTCATTGCCTTTGTTGCCAAGGCTTCCCACTAGTGTTAAAATTATGTTTTATTTGATCAAATTAATAATTTAGTGGGTTAGGATTTGAAGAAGGTTGAAGAACTTTTTTCTTTCGATTTCTTTCGATCTTGTTTCGCATACCTTATGGAAAAAGGCAAAAGAACATTATTTCCAGAATGGCTGAGGAGTAATGGCACTGTTGGCAATTCAGCTCACCACGGTTCTTCCCCTTCTTCTAACTCAGGTACCTTTCGGCATGCCAACTTTTAAATACTCTTCCATTTTTCATTCCATTTACATCTGTCTAACTGCACCTTTATTTTCCATTGTGCTTCTAATTGCATTTGTACTGTTTTTTTAGTTTGCATTGTAAGAGTTCTTAATAATTGTGTTCTTGTTGGTATGATAGATGTTTCTTCTTTGGTGCATCATGGGAGACATAGGAACTCTAGGAAAGTAAATGATTTTGATTCCTCTCGTTCGACATTTTTCGACCGGACACATACGTTGAATTCAGGGAGAAGTTCTAGTAATGTTTCTGGGAAGCATGCTTATAGTAGCTTTAGTAGGAATCACCGTGATAAGGATCGAGAAAGGGATAAAGAGAGAATGAGCTTTGGGGACCATTGGGACTGTGATTCTTTTGACCCTTTAGAAAGTATGTTAACTAGTAGGTTCGAGAAAGATACATTACGGCGTTCTCATTCTATGGTTTATAGGAAACAGGGTGAACCTTTGCCTCGAAGGACTGCTGTGAACTCTGGAGATAATGGTAACAGTAATCAGAACATTGCCAATGGTTTTCATTCTGGGGGTAATATTGGGAGTAGCATCCACAAGGCTGAGTTTGAGAATGATTTTCCATCACTTGGAACTGAAGAGAGGCAAGGGGTGTCTGAGATTGCTAGAGTTTCTTCTCCTGTTTTCGGCTCAGCTTCTCAAAGTGTGCCTGTTGGTAATTCAGCTTTGATTGATGGAGAAGGATGGACCTCGGCTTTGGCAGATGCGCCGAGTGTGGTTGGAAGTAGTAGCACAGGTTCCTCACCTGCCCCTCAAACTGTTTCCACCACAAGTTCTGGGGCTCCAAGTGTCACATTTGGTCTTAATATGGCTGAAGCACTAGCACAAACGCCTTCACGAACCTCGACTGCTCCCCTGGTAAGTGGCTTAGTCATTAAGTTCTTATTACATGTATGACTTATATCTGTGATCTAACTAGGCATTTCTATTTTATTTAGGTATCTTTCACGACTCAAAGGCGTGAGGAACTGGCTATTAAGCAATCAAGGCAACTAATACCAGTGACACCTTCGATGCCTAAGGTTTTTTTAAGCCATTCTGCCTTAATTTCAGCAGAACATTCTCTTAAATCTTATCTGCATTACATTTGTAATTTTAGTCCTATTGAACAATTTTGCCCCCTTTTTATTTGCCTTCTTGTACATCATGTATAGATATTGAATGCTGTATATGTTATTACAGCTAATGGTTAGCTTTATTCTCTTTGCTTCAGGTTTTAAATTCAACTGATAAATCAAAAGTCAAACCTGCAACCAGAACAAGTGAGATGAACATAGCTGTCAAGAGTGGATCACAAACGTCACCTTTGATTTATCAAGGTAATCACTCTCCGCATAATGGACATGTTAAGTCCGATCCAAAGACATCTGGGAAGCTTTTGGTTCTCAAACCTGGAAGGGATAATGGGGTCTCATCTCCTACTCAAAAAGATATTTCTAGTTCAACAAAAGTCGCTAACAACAGAGATATAACTAGCCAACATGCTGTTGCTCCTGTTAATTCTGTTTCTGCAAGAAACACAAATGTCCCGAAGCTTTCTGCTGGGGAATATAAGGCAGCTGCCATTAGTGCAATAACTGGGTTTACTGTGGAAAAGAGACATTCTTTGGCCCAAACTCAGAGCCGAAATGATTTTTTTAATCTCCTGAAGAAGAAGAAGAAGACTTCAACAAACATTTCTGGTGCTCTCTCCAATTCAGATTCTCAAATTTCATCATCCGTTATGGAGAAATCTGAAGTTACTAAGGAAGTAATTGGTGCTTCTGTGATTGCTTATACTGATGATGGTACTGCAACAACTAGCAACGGTGACACTTGTTCTGGTGACAAGAAAAAGGAAATGAGCACCATTGATATGCCTTATCCCAATGAGGAAGAGGCCGCATTCCTTTGTTCTCTTGGGTGGGAAGAAGGCACTGGTGAGGATGAGGGCCTTACGGAAGATGAGATCAATGCTTTTTATCAGAAGGTAAGAGATATTTTCCTTTTGTCTTTTTAGTCATGATGCTGTGAAGGTTTATTGCAATTTGTTATGCTTTGATTTGCAATCTGATCCCATGGCTGCTTGGCTTAGCATCTCCCTCTTTGTTTACGTGCTTACTTTGGTTATTGTTTTGATATTACAGCATATGAAAATAAGGCCATCTCTGAAAATATTCCGTGGCATGCAACCAATGCTATTGCAGTCTGTTGCAAATAATTTGGATGGAGTTTCTTCTGAATCAAGCTTATCCGACTCCGCCTCTGAAGCTTGAGTTTTCTTTCTTTCGTACATAGTCAATCCATGAGTTCCAATCTTTTATTTATAGATTACTTCTTTCTTTGCCTCACTTTATCCCCTTTTTTATGTTTTCTGCTAGGAAAAAAAAGCTGCAGAGTTAGGTATTTTGGCGGTTTTAGGTTTTAGTTTGACAGTGCATTTAGCAAATGTTGCAATAAGGGGCGTCCTACGTTGTTGACAGAAGTCTGAAGGCTTCCATGGTGGGTTTTAGGGTAAGGATGGGTTAATTTTTTTTTTGTGAGCACCGGAAGCGATGATGCATTTCCAAGAGGGTTCATAGAAATAGTTTATTTGTATTTCGAGTTAATTTTTTATGAAAGAAAAATGGAAATAAAAGAGTTCCAATTACTTCACCTCATTTTATTATTACTAGTTTCCTTCAACACAAAACAAGTGTACATTACTTGTTTTTATAATATTTTTATTTCACGCAAATGTAATATATATATATATATATATATATATTAAGAAAATTTAATATTTGAAACAATTTTTTATCTAATCTATTTTTATTGTATAATTACATTTTAAAATAAAATATATTAATTAATTAAATTATTAGATTTAACTAATAATTTATATTTTGATACAAATATATTTTTATGCATACAATTAAGATTTATTTACATTATATATTAGGAGTAAGTATTCGATCAAGTTGAGTCAAGTATAGTAAAAAGACGAGATGAGGAGTCCTATTTTAAGAATGAAATTTTATTTAAATTGTTTAAACGATGCCCAATTTAACAAATTTCTCTCTATATATATTTGACATTGCAGTCTTATTTCTTTTGGTTGAGAAAAGGTAAGCCACAAGGCCTAAATTACAGCAAATTCCTACTTTCCTCTCTAATTACTTCGACCACTACATTCGGTGGATGATTAAGAATATGCAAACCATACGAGAGGGACCAAGCATATTTGGCAATAGTATCTGCAGTAATGTTGCTTCCTCTTGGAGTATAGTGGACACAAACAGTCAAATTCTTGCTGATGAGGACATCGATGTATTTAATAATCGTCAAATGGTTACCCTTGGGCGTTTTATCTTGAATCAGATCCGCCTCTTCTTTGCTGTTCATTTCTAAAATAACTTGTTTTTCTCCCATATTCCAGGCTAGTTAGATAATCGTTCAAAGTATTACTGATAGGAGGGGAAATAAGTCGAGGGTATTTATGATGTTCACCAGGAGTAATCGATCGAGAATATTCCACTTTCATGTTCCGTCATCATTGACTAGATCCCTGACAACACAATCATCTTCCATGATTTGATTTGGTTGAAGGCAAACTTCTCCCAGGGGTCCGAGGTCTTTTAACCAGGGGTTCTTCCAGAATTCGATAGACGTACCATTTCCAGGTATCCAGATAGTGTTTGCCCTAAAGGTGTGCCAAATCAATTTAAAGCCCTTCCAGAGATGGTGCTTCCATTTTATATTTAATTCACATGACTCTAACCCAGAGGAGATCAGACCGGGAAACCAAGCTGAAAAGCAACTTTTGTGAGAAACGCCTTATTTTGGTTCTCAGGTTGTTTGATACCCAACCCTCCTTGTTTGACGGCCTGACACACGGAGCTCCAGTTCACCAAACTAACATCACCCCTATTCGACGTTCTACCCCAAATGAAGTCGCGTATCAGTTTTTCAATTTCTTCACAGTCGCCTTTGGGAAAAAGGGTAGTCTGCATTGCATAGTATAAGATGGCAAACAACACTGATTTGGCTAATACAATTCTCCCAGCTAAGGATAAGAATCTTGCTTTCCACCCGGCTAGACGATCTCGTACTCGTTGGACAATATGTTGATAGGTGGCCTTTGTAACTCTCTTATGAAAGAGGGGCACTCCAAGGTATTTACCCAAGTCCTTAACTTCTTGGACTCTCAAATTAGAGCGAAAAGTCTCGCGGGAGTGAATAGGGATGTTCTTTGAGAAATAGATATTTATTTTGGTATTATTGACCTTTTGACTGGAGCTAATGCAAAATTCATGAAGTATCCTTTCCATCACCTCAATTTGCTTGTTGTCGGTTTTTGCAACAACAAAAAAACTAAATCGTCAGCGAAAAATAAATGAGAAAAACCTGAACCACGGGAAGAGAGTTTTATGGGTTTCCACTGTCCTTGGTTGACTTGAGTCGATATCGATTGGGCAAGCCTTTCCATGCAAAGGACAAAGATGTAGGGAGATATAGGATTTCTTTGGCGGATACCATGCGTCGGTTTGAAAGAATTCGAAAGTGTACCATTCCAAGCAATTTGCATAGTTGTAGAACTTATGCAGCCCATGATGACATTAATTAGCCGAGGTAGAAAACCAATACCATTGAGAGTGTCTTCGATAAAGCTCCATTCAAGGCAATCATAAGCCTTTTCGAGATCAATCTTGATCGCAAGCCATCCTTGTTTTTCCTATGTTTCTTCCTCATCGAGTGTAGTCTCTTGGGCAAGAATTATGTTGTCCGAAATAAACCGACGGGGGACAAAGCTGGTTTGATTATTGGCCACCAGATTAGGAAACAACGGTTTAATACGATTAACAATAACCTTCGTGGTTATTTTATACAGAGTAGAATATAAACTTATCGGTCTATAAATCGTTCATCGTTTCGGGTGGTCCACCTCGGGGAGCAAAACCAACAAAGCTCTATTCAAGTGATCCATAGGGGTGTCATTTATAATGTCTCGCACAAGATGACAAAACGGTCCGTAAATAAAGCATCTTTAATTTTTGAATCATCCACTGGAGCATTCAACCATTTCCACTGATCTGGGTTAAGTTCGGGAAAAACACCTCTAGATCATACCTTTGACGATTCTGACTGGAGCTGGTAAACAAGTCTTCGACTTAACCTGATCTTTCAAGCGTTCCTGGACTGAACAAACAAAACCATTAGGCAGCTTGAGAGCGGTAATAGAATTTCTTTTTTTTCTTAGAATTGGCACACATGAAAATATCTCATTTTTTTCGTCTGATATCCATCTATTTCTAGCTCTCTGCGACCACAAGAGCTCTTCTTGCTTGACGACAGTGTCCAGCTTCACCCTCACTTCTTTTTCAAGATTTATGAGCTTATGCGAAAAATAGTTTTGTAGGTCTTTATCTATTCCTCTAAAGTGAGCAAAGATTCTTTTTTTTTCTTTGGTCGATGCTACCAAAAATGTTACTGTTTCAAACAACTATCTCTCTCAGTTTCCAAACTTTTTTAAGTAAACTCTCAAAATTCGGGTGGGTTAACCAAGCAGTCAGGAACCGAAACTGCTTCTCTCTTTTGGGGGGTATGAATGTTATATTTACACAAGAAGAGCTATGGTTCGAACCAAGCCTATCCAGATCTAAAACCTTAGAATTCGGATAAATAAGGTTCCACTTGTCGTTAATAATGCACCGATCAAGCCTTTTCCATAGGTTGCCCCTACGTCACGTAAAGTCTAGACCAAGATAATCTAATTCTAGCAGGCTATTATCAAATATGAATTTGTTGAAGTTTTTACTTACCCCTTTATTGTTACTGTTGCCACCATGCCTATCTTCGACTCTAAGTATACAATTGAAAATCACCACAGAGGATCCAAGGATCATCAGAGTTGGGAGATAATTTTGAGAGGCGATCCCATAGTCATCCCGGATAGAAATATTAGCGCTAGCATATACGGTTGTAAAGAAATGCCAATTGAAATCATCTTTGGTACTAAACTTCCCATGAATGTACTGATTAGAAATCTGAATAATTTGGACATGGGTTGAATCATCCCACATAACTCTAGTCATGGTAAATTTGACCCGTACCCGATTATCCGACAGATTTATCTGACCTGAGACCCTATATAGACCCGAATATAATAATCCAAAATTGATCCGAACCCGAAATAAACCGAATTGAACCGGACCAAGATTATAATTGAACCGAAATCGACCCGAATTGAAAGAACCTCAAACCGAAGTCAACCCGAACTGAAAGTAACCCGAACAGAAAATAATCCGAATCAAAATCAACCTGAATTTAGTTTATCTATATCCGATCCAAACCGAACTTTGATATGATTTTAATCTGATAATTGAGTCTAAGTGAACGAATAATTTATTTATTTATTATTATTATCTATTTTTATTAATTAGATAAATAGTAGAATGTGATATATATATATATATATATTATACTCGTTTTATATTATACAACTAATTAATCACCACCTTTAGTAATAATTTAATAGTTCAATATAATATTTTCTCAGTTAAAAATCACATTTTTATCTGATAACTTCTAAATCATTTCAAAACATTATTTGATATGAAGGATTATGAAATAAAAGTATTCAAACAAAAAATTTTAATATGTGATAAATTTAATTCACATTATTTAGACAATTGATTATAATTGACTTTAAAAGAAAATAAATTTTGAACATAAGCGTCAAACAAAAAAAATTCTCATTCAAAACTGATAAAAAGATACAAACCAAATCAAATACCAACACAATATTAGTGACACTCAATTATTCTTGCATGTTAAACTCAATTATATTAAAATAATTTAGGGAATTTTTTAGTGTGTTAAATTACAGATATAAAATAATATAAAAATAATATAAAAAAATCTAGGGTTTGTAAATTTTTAATTTGAGGTTGAGAATTGAGAACAAATAATGTGTTTTAGTAAAATAATATAAAAATATATATATATATATATATATATATTATGTATTTTTTAAATATGATAAATGATAATAGTTATAATAAAAGTAAAAAATTATGGAGAGTTAATACTATAATCGATCCTAAAATTTATTAGGATTTGAAAATTATTTTTATACTTCCAAATATTACAATTTGATTTTAATTTTGGATTATAAAGATTTATTGAGTCAATTCATTTAAATCTTAAACTAAACTTCTAGCCAATTTGAGATGTGATAATATATAGTTTTATAAAATTCCTGAATTACAATAAATGAAGAGTAACAACGATGACTATGATGACAGAGTGATGACGGTTGAAACAAGCTGAAATCAACCCAAATTGACCAAAAATCTAAAGGTTGACTCGAACAAAAACCGTCCCAAATTGACCCACCCAAATCGAAACAAACCGACCCGATACTAACCCAACTCGAAACCAACCGATTCGATATTAACCCGACCCGAAAGCCAACCGATCCAATTTTGACCCGACCCGAATTAAATTTCCTTAGACCCGAACTAAACCTGAACCCGATCTGACTCTACCCAATCCAAACCTAAACAGAATAATCCTAACCCGAAATGACTCGACCCGAACCCAACCCGATTGCCACCTCTACATAAGTCAAATTCCGGTACTGAAGCCTTG